TTTCGTACCAGTGTGTCCCGTAGCTCCCAGGACAGCACCTACAGAGACGGAGCTACTGCCGCTGCTCAGAGAGGAGCACCTAACAGGGCCTCGTCCCTGTCTGGAATCAGCCTTGCCCATGCCAGCAGAGAGGCAGCAGTGCCCTGGAGAGAGGCACCCTCAGTGAGCTCCAACAGATGGGCCAGCACACTTACCCTTCCTTTGTATCTTCTTTTAGCAGCTAAATCCCTCGTCATTTAATATTAACTCCCACTGCACATTAGTAGATATACCCTAATTTCCTCAAGACGACCAAACATACAATTTGGTCCCAAACCAACTGAAGTTCCTGCACCACTCTAAAAAGGACTGTTAACATTCAGTCTTGCTAATAAAAGCACCTTAAATAAGGTGGCTTCTCTGCAGCCTCTCATTACCCGTGCTCAGAGCCCCTTGTCCCTGCGCACAGCTCTGGTGAATAAGCTTCTGGGATGGGACACAGGCCTGCAAAAACCCATGAGCGTGCACAAACACGCACATACTGATATCTGTGTTTCCAGGCACCAAGGAGCATTTTTAACAAACTGGCAAGAGCAGCAGAGAAACACGTTCTGCCTCCCACCACCGCATCACACAAATCCAACAGTTCATCAGCCCAAATCAGCATGCAGCATGTTCCCAGCAACAACTCCTCTCCCAGTCTACCCTTACTACCGTGGGACTAGGGCTGTGGTCGGTCTCCAAACAGGGCAAGGCCGACAGGTAAGGATGAAACAACTAATGACTGCACACAAATAACCATAAACTTCAACCCAGCAGGCCAGTATTTCTTGTCCTGCTCTCCCTGGCACAAGTACCTCTAAGCCCTCACCAGCTCAGTCTCCAAATCAGGAGACAAGCTCTAGAAGTCAGGAGCTGTTTTAAGTAATCATAAATGCCAGGCTGCATTTCAATTAGCCTTCTGAGTCCTTCTGCCTTTTCCCTGCATACAGCAGAATGACAGATTTTTAAGAACAACCTCTTCTTTTCAGTAAAAAGCAAGATGCCCATGCATTTTCCTGAACTGACAAGCTGGGCTTTTAGGAAAGCACCAAATATCATAATGCCTACAAAGTTACCCGCTGTGATTGTTCTGTAGCAGTCAATATCCCTGCAAAGGGATAAACAAGACTGCTGGAGCCCAGGGTACCAGGTTGTGCCCCCCTTCTGGGTATCAAGTATTTTCAGGTTTCCTCCTGAGGCCGTGGGCAGGGATTGTAGGCAGCAGCGAGTCTCCAGCCATGCTGGCCAGAGATGAGAAAGGGCACTGCAAAGAACATGGGAACAGACACGAGCAGGCAGGCACAGCTGCCTGCCAAAGAAGAGCTTTGCCCCTATAAAGGTGAATAATCTGCAGAGGTACAGAGAGTGCAGGGTGATATAAAGCAACACGAAAATTTGGCCTGCAAATTTAAATGCACTCTCATTTCTCCTCTCACATAAATGCACTGGGAGTCACATACTCTTTATGCCCATCTCAGCATCTGAAAAGCCTAAGTCAGAAGGATCTTGGTGAGGGCAGGCTTCCTGGAGCTAGAAGAGGAACTAGCACTAAACCTCCTGACCCATGTCCTGGCAGGCAAAGCTGGGGCTCACCCCATCCGCCAGTCAGCAGCCTGCTGCAGGGCGAGAGAGGGGCTCTCTGCAGCCAGACTGAAGCACTCTCACTCAGAGACCCACCACCACCACCGATGGCAGGAGTGGCTGCTTCCCAACAGAAGCAGCAAAGCACACGTGCTGACTACTCTAAAAGCACAGCCTCCTTCCTGCAGGAACAGGGCAGACACAAAACAGTGCAGTGCAGCTCACCTGTACAAAGAGCAGACAAAGATCAGTTGCACCCTATCTGCAAACTGAGAATGAATGAGGAAGGCAGCACAAAGCCTAAATATGACTAATGCCTGCGGGCTCTTGCAAGGAGCCTAGCAGATATTCTCATAGCTGACACAGAAAATCATGCCTCCAAAGCTTGTGCATACAAAGCTCCCCAACTCATACACCAAAAAAGCCAGCCTAGACCTTCAACACATGCAGGGTACATTCTGGGGCCTGACTGGGGGCATACAACACAAACCCACAGACAGCTTCAGTATCTGAAACTTAGTTCTCAAAGCCCAAGAGGTAGTGGCTGGTGTACATGAAAGGAAAGAAAAAGCTCATATGCATCAGCTGTGCCTTTTCTTCACCATCATTGAACACTGCGGAAACTGGAATCACCCTCCTCAGCTTTGTAGACACCAGCAAATGCCGTGCTGCAGCTCCCACTATTGCAGTGGAGCTATTTAGTTGCAAAAAGATGTCTGAGACACTATGGGAATTCAGGGCTTATTGAGTGGTAGGACTTGGCATAGCACAGCATCCAGATGGTTCAGGTCTGCCTTTGAAAGGTCCATCCAATCCAAAATTCCCAGCTGAATACTACAGCTAGTAACACCCAAGAAGAGGAGACAAACTAAGCAACCTACACATGGCCAATATCCTGCAGTCAAGTGTGCAAACCACACTTGTACATGCAACACCTATGCTATGAAGGACAGTACAAAAAGAGCTGGTTGTAAAGGCAAGGGAGGAAGAGAGAACCCGTGCTGGAAGAAGTCACGGGCTTAGGTGGTGTGCAAGGGAGCCCATAGGGACCTGCAAGAAAAGGTGGAGAAGGAGGTCAAAACCAAAAGGGGAAACCAAATTGTTCTTCATTACCATATAATATAAGAAATGTAACATGCCAGGTTTTTATGGTTCTTTTTATGGCCATTAATAACAATGGTGGCTCTGAGAGCTATGCTGCTGCTATGGATAATTAAATCTTATGCTCAGAGCAGAAGCCAGGCCACCCAGGGCAGTCAGGCCAGGATTCCCATGTGGAGCACTAAAAACCTATTCAAGTGCAGGGTGGGATCAGGATGGGATTTGCTTGGGTGGATGTGCTAGCTCTTGGCCAGTACCAATGAGACACGATGAAACAATGTCCCCCCTCAGCATTGCCAGCCCTGTAGCTGCTGCCCTGCCCAGCAGCACGTCCACGCAGGCTAGCGCTGACAGCAGGGCATGCAGCTCACGCCAAGCACGAGGCCACACGCAGTGCAGGACAGACTGCAGCTGCATCTTAAGTGGCCGACCGGCAGAGCTGCACCCCGCCTTCCTGGAGCTCAGGCAAGGCAGCTACAAAAGGCCATTCACAGCTCAGGCATCACCTTAGCCTCAGTACCTGCTTTAGCAGTCAGATACTCTGGAAACAGACATGCTCAAGAGGGGCTGATGACTCTTCTGCAGATTGTCAGCAGTTTTGCTTGTATGAATCACAAGTAAGTAGAACAGTAAATCAACCCCCCCCAGTGTATCAAACAACCAGCTTGAGAATTAAAACACAAAAAGTCAAGGAATCAAGAAGCTTGGATTCCCAGAGTGACATTAATTCTCACCACAGTCCCACAGGGCACATTTTAGTTTATGCCTTAATACAGAGCATTAATGTTGTTGCAGGAAGCTGAGCCTCTGCATGTCCTGGCTTGTGCATTTTGCTCCCAGTGGTCCCTCTTCATTCTACCAGCCAGGCTTCCGCTCACACAAAGCTGTCTCAGACTAACAGGATCTCACACACACCTGAATTTTCAGTGTTTAGCCCATTGTTCATCCATCTCCCCCCTCATCCCGTCCGTCTCCTCTCAATAAAACAAAGCAAATCTGGCAGAGAACACCCAGGTGCAGCAGCTGCTGGGCCAGGAGCGGGTGCAGCCCGAAGCTTGTTCTTGTGCACTCTCCCCACCACACCCCCTCTGTCCACACAATGGCGTTTTCTACCGCGTACCCCAGCTCTGCTCTCAGGTGTGCTTAGGAGCTACCAAATTTGAGCTTTCCTCCAGTGGCAGCCAGGGCTGGCGGCACAGACAGGGCTGCGACTGGCTTGCCCACGTGCACCAGACCCGTTTTCAGCAGGTGCATGGTTTCACGCAGATGCAGAGGCTCAGGCACACATACCTTCCTGACACTCTCCTTATGCCAGAGCCTCCAAACAAATTTCACTCTGACTTACAAAAGAACAGCCTTAGAAAATATCTATTAGCACAGACACAGGTCAGCTGACAGACTTGGCACTTCAGTCCAAGGGTTGATCTCAGCCTGTGTCACTGCGGTTGAGCAATAGGGGTGGGGGGGGGGGCACTTTGCTGTCCAGCTTTCCAACAAGAGCTGCAGCTACCCAGCGTGCTTGTCCTTTGACAATTTTTCATTAAACTGTGGGTACTTTACTGCATGCGTGGTGCCTTAAATACCTCTTATTAGCATTTGAGTGTCCTCCCTCCTTAGAAAGCTTGCAAGGCTCCCATTAAGGGTAATGAGAGTCACACTCCTGGGAGGCAAGGAGAATATATACCCCAACATCTCCTGGTTATGGTCTACTCTAACCAGTATGTCAGAGCATCATCTGCTAGGGATTTATTACAGAGGCATTTTACAACAGGCTCTATTATAAGTTATTAAGGAATGGAGCAGCTTCTACTGTTCTTTCATTAAATATTAATAGAACATTTATAAACCAATCCTTAATTTAAAGTGTTACCTTTAATCAAAGCCCTGGTGATAACAATGCAGCCTTTGGTAAGGCCCCTCTGGTAGTACTTAAACCTTTCACACTGAGATTTTATGTGCCTGTGGGTGCGCTCCTGCTCTGGGCATAGAGCACAGAGGAGCTCTGGCTGCTGCAGGCACAGGCAGGGCGCTCTGGGCTGGCAGCTGCAGGTCTTGCTCCATGGTGCTGCCTGCTGCAGGCACTGCACGGAGCCAGGCAGCAGCCTGCGGGGCTGTTGAGCTTCCTCTCCAACACCCAGTAATGCCCACAGCACGGGTACCCCAGCACCAACACCCAGCACGGAGCTGCAGGCCTGCCGGCACACAGCCATGCACGGAGCAGATGCAGGACACATGGCCACAGTCTGGTCTTCTGATGCCCCACACAGACTGCCCCAGCCCAACTGGGTGCTGCTCACCTGTTTTACTGTCCACAGTAAAGTGCTGCTCGCCCTCCAGCACACTGTAGACTACCCGGGCACTGCTCCCGTATGTGGGGTCATCAGCATCAGATGCCATCACCTGCATCACAGAGGTGCCTGCAGCAGGGACAAGGAGGAAAACAAAAAGTCAGGGAGGGGGTGAGAAGAGCAACGCAACCCTCATTGCCAAGGCTGGCAGGACAGGAGAGCAGGGGCCAACACTGATCGCTCACACACGCTGATGGAAACGAGAACAGTTGGGTGCAAATGCAGCATTGCCTCCCCACGAAAGCCTAAGAGCCAGGACTCCAGACACTGCTGCAAATGCCCCTTTTGTCCCGCAGAGTGGCAGGACGCACCGGACCTTGGGCCACCTCAGGGCTGCTGTCTAGGTAGGACCTGCTCTCCAGGAGATCACTGGTCTGAACAGCTGGGAGCTTTTCTCCCAGCAGAATTCTGCTGGATCATCTGGGAAGGAGCAGGAGACAAGATCTCTCAGCTGCCCCCTTCCTGTCAGCACCAAGCAACACTGTCACCTCCAGCCCTTAGAGGGACCTTCCAGCCAGGGCCTGATCCACCCTGCAGCACCACATCTCCGCAGCAGACAGACCCGCAAAGGGACAGCAGCCATGGGAGAGGAAAGGCTTTCGCTTGCCCAGAGCCAGACACAGCACCACGTCCTCATGCTCTACACGTAGCAGGGCAGGAGGACTATAAATTGGATAAAAGTCCATCAAATGTCTGCAATTAAGTTATTGATTTTCAACGCTGCCTCATTAAACCGGGTGTTTCACTCCAACTGTCCCTGTGATGGCTCTAATTTGACATCATGTTCAATTTGACAAAAGCAGGACCCAGGACATGAAAATGGGCCAGAAGCAAAGGGGCTGAGATCTACAGAGACAACAGGAGGGAGGAAGGAGGGGAAGCCTAATCCTACCTACAGACCCCTCTGAGAAAAGAGATGGTGTGACTGAAGGCCTGTGAGGACAGGCTACCCAGTTCCACCTCTGGCACCAGACTCGGAGCATCCCTGCCCCAGAGGCTGAGCACTGGCACCAGTCGCCTCTCTGGTGGGATGAGGTGCAGGACAGGGAGAAGGCCCTGAGCTGCTCATAGGAAAGATCAAACCAGCTGGGAAACTCCCTGCTGCAAGATAGTGCCAGGGCCAAGAGCTGACAAGGCTGGCAGAGAAGCTGGTAATTTATAATGGACAAGATCCCCCAGCAATGACTGCAGTAATAGGTTTTGCTTCTCCAGGGCACAAGACCAGCCCAAACTGAAGGGGCCAGGAGAGGGCATTTCACAGCTCACACTGCTACATCCAGCAGCTCTGCTCTGCCTCACACACCTCTTAGGGCTGCTGTGCCACCAGCTGAGGACCAGAGGTACCACACTCTGGTCCAGAAACTCTTCTGTTCTGCAGTGCATCCATCCATATGCTGTAAAGACAATCTCACAGGCTGCTCTTGGCTAGACCCATGTCATGAATAACCCAGAGCCAGGCTTACTACTAGTTGTCAGCATCTGAGTCTAGACCCAGTACATTCCCAAACACCAGAGGTATACACAAAGTCAGAAGCAGCCTCTGTTCCCACGTCACAGTAAGCAGAAATGGAGCTGGAACCATCCAGACAGAGGATAAGGAGCTCCAGTCCCTGGTGCCTTCCTCTTCCCCTGTCAGGAGACCACAAGCCCACATCTTGCAGGCAAGCCAGGCAGTCAGGGTGCTTCTGCACCAGCCCAGCCTGCACTCGGGCAGGAGACAAGACAGCAGAGATAGCAATGCTGCTGCAAGCAGCTGGAATGCACACACTCCCCCCAGTCCAGTTTGCTTCTGATCTCCTGGAAATGGTGTTCACTGAAGAAAATGAGCAGTTACCATGGTTGCTTTTCATTCTCCCTGGCCATCTTCTCAGAGCTGCAGCTCTGCTGATAACATGAGAATCCCCCTCATCGGTCTTCAGCAACAAGCTAGTTCGAGTTGACTTATTTATGCTTTGCCGTCTCCAGTGAAGTTATGGTGCATCCCTGCCAGGCACGTCCAGATTACACCACAGCAACACTAGCTCCCTGCCTTGCAAACAACTGTTTAAGAAATACTGTTGCGGCATTTCCTTGAAAGGGTCTGTCCTACCTCCTCCTCCTCCTCCTCCCCGCCCCCGCCTGCCATCACACAACTCTTTCACCAGGTGTGAGCCAAGGCAGATCACCCCCACACCAGCACCTGCACTGCACATCCCCCAGGCACCCTGCCATGTTCCCTTGGGAAACTTCCGATCACAAAGCTGAGAAGGACGGGATCAGAGAAGGGAAAGTACATGGCACCGGGGTCTCCAAGCACCTCACTCCCAGCTGCCGCAGAGAAGCCCTGCTAGGGATGCTGGAGGTGCCATAGTCTGAGAATCAGAAAAAGCAGCACCTGCCCCTGGAAACAGGTAGGGCTCCTTCTGTGCCCAGCCTGGCAGCAACCCACTGAGAGTCCATGCACAGTGTCCACAGCAGCACCCACTCCCGCACCCTGCAGCACCCATCAGCACAACAGGCAGAACCTGCTGACCTTGCACAAACATCCCACACTCCAAGAGCCACTTGCTCTTGCCTAGGCACCTCAGAGGCAAAGGGTTAGGAGATCCAAAACTCACCCGCACACACACAAGCCCATCAGAGCTACTTGCCTGCACTTGCCCTGTATGCAGTATAACCTGCATCAGGACTGCATGTATGCAGACAGGGCAAGTGCCCCAAGGACTATGCCACAACCCTCTGTCTCAGTACTGTCACCCCACAGGTGCCAGCCCAGCGATTATTAAAGAGGGGGAGCTAGCCACTAAAAGCTTGCATCAGGCTCTGCATCTCATGTTGCTTCTCCCCAGATGCATTGACTCAATGGCATAATTCACCCACTAATGCATCCCTATCAGACAAACAGCTATACTCCTTGCGTTCCAGTATTTACCTGAACATCGCAAAACTGCATCACTGCCAGAGTCCAACGGGAAGGCAGGATGCACACCCACCCAGCGGTGGGTTTTGTTTCTCCATTTTAAGCCATGCCCTGGACAAGCCAGGCAGGTTGCTGCTCTCAGTTTTCCAATGCCAGCACAGAAGGCTCCTGGTCCATGGGGCTGCCTCTCTGGCTGCTGGGCACTCCCAAGTGCTGAAGCAACAGGGCTGCGGGGTGGAAGATCCAGGCTGCTGGGTCCCAGGCGTGAACCCCATGTTTGGGACCAGCGCTTTCCACTCTAGTTCAAGGGGAACGGAGCCTGAGGGTCATTACAGCAAGGCGCCTTCAGCTCAGAGGCAGCAGGACCATTGCATACTGCCACTAGGCTGAAGCCAGCAACCCTGAAGGTGATGAAGGCTCTGCCCTTCCCCACCTGCTCTCACAGCACCTCATTAACTGATGAGCAAGAAGAAGCAGGTAGGGAACATTAACCCCGCTTTGTGCCTTGACTTCTGGTCTGCAAAGGTGCAATGCAGCCTGCTCAAGGTCACCTATAGGACATCAGGAATTTAGGAGTCCAACTTTGCAGCATCCTCTCTTAACCCCCACTTATCCCTTTTCCATCCTTCCCTCACCCTCTTTCAATCTGAAGAACAAAGGTCTTGAATTCCAGTTTAACTTGATCCCCTCCTTCCTCTGGAGACAAGCCTAGGAACACTGGCTCCCACCCCTGCTCTGATATTAGTCCCTGCTCTCCAAGCATAGTACTGCCCACAGCAAGTACAGCATGTACAACTTTTATTTAGTTTTCTGGCATGTGCCTTAGCCATAAAAGATATGAGAAATAAAATCTAAACATCCATCATGTACTGTATAAGCCACCTCCCATAACCAGGAAGCCTGAACTCATACCCAGAGAGATAATTAGACATGTAAAATGAGGTAAAGACCTCAGTTCCTCCCCTGGCCAGCTCACCCCACAGAACCAGAGGAAATCAACAATTTTACATAAAAATTAAGGAGCCAGAGGAAAGGGGGGCAAAGACCCTGACTTCCAGAGCAATCCTCCCCCACAGCCCGTGCTGGGGCCGCAGAGCACCCGGCTGACCCAGCGCCCGCGGGGCTGGGTGCGGGAGCGGACACAGACCCTGGCTGCCAGCCATTCTCTCGCTCCATGGGCCCTGCCTGGGCTGCCCCCCTTCC